GCCTTGGTCAGGGGTGTGGTAGTGGCAGCTGGGCTGTTCAGCAGGGGATGAGCTCCAGAATTAGCAGGGCTCTGGTTCCCATGATGGTCAATCCTGCTGATGAAGCTTCCTCCAGGCAGTAAGGTGGATGCAGCAGGTGAGGCTTCCTTCCTTTCCCAAACTAGTCCAACCATTCCTCAGGAAGCCAAACCCCGTCTGCTGTTCCTGTCTGCACTGCACCTCCGTGGGGAAGGGCTCCCTGTCCATACCAGGGATGGGTATGGTAGAGAAATTTCATGGGCCAGAAGGGCAGATGGGCTCCCCAGTTTTGAATCCAAATGGACATACTTGAGACAGACGTTTGCTGTGACTCCACACTCTACCCTTTGCAGACACTGCTTATTAATCACAGTCATAAAATTCTCAGCCTGGTATCCGGTTAGCAGTGACATGTGCTCCAGGTGGCTTATGAGAAGGACCTGGAGGACTGATGCATTCCTAATGGATCCTGCCTGACCAGACCTTAGAACATTCCATGTAAATGAGAATGCAAACCATCATGACCCTGGGGAGACTCTGCTTTATCAGTAAGAGATGGCACCTTGGGAGATCACATCCTGAATAGAAGAGGCAGTTCTGTGTGAACTCCCTTCATTAAGACCCTAAAGCCTTTGGCATGGCCTCAAATGTAGCTTGTGGGGCAGAGGATCCACTGGGGCTGGGATAGGCAACAGCCACTCAATCAGGCCTCCTGAGACACTCTGACCCTCTCCCACCATGGCTGGGACTGGCGGGGCATCCCGGCAAGCAGAGAGAGCCCAGAAGGTGGAACCCTGGTCAGTGGTGGTGCTGAGTGTGGGGTGGAGGCATCTGGGACAGGGCCTCCAAGTAGGGGGAGGAGCCGGCCTCTCCTCGGGGACCTGGGCAAGTTACTGCCCTCTTTCAGCCTCTGTTTCCTGATCTGGAAAAATATAGGGGTGGTGAGCCTGCTGTGCAGGACTTACAGAGTCATGATGAGGTTCAAAGGAAGAAATCTGAGGGTGCTTGTGCCTGGCCCTTCTTCAGAGGGATGATAGCAAGAACAATGATGACAGCTGTATGGCACTAAGTCCTTAGGAGACCCTGTGAGGTAGGCACGGTTCCCGTGGCACCTTCCAGATGAGGAACAGTCTCAGGGAGGCTGGGATGCATGCCCAACATGACACATGAGTGACTATTGGAGCTGAGAGTGCATCTAGAATCAGAGCCCTCTGGAGATCGTTTTAGCATCATACCATCTGACTTAGGCCAAGTATCTTGGGTCCAATGCTGGGGGCACTGTGGTGTAACTAGGGGAGGGGAGAATAGTTTCACTGACCTTGTCCCTGACCCTGGCAGCTGAGGACCTCTAAGTTAGCCACCCTAGGGAGGAACCCCCAGAGAGCCCAGATGAGACAGAAGCAGGTGATCATGCCTATGGCAGGGAGGGGATCCAGTGAGTCAGAGGACAGGGTCCTTCCTCCCAGCTGGGGGACTCCACAGCAAGAAAAAATGGTATACAATCGGGGCTCTCACTTTGGGAAGTGTGAGGATGTGGAAGTCAGAGATGCCCTGGGCAGGACATGCCCTAGTCCATCCTTAGCATCTCAGATTTCTTGGGTTTGACACCCAGGAAGAGGAGACCCATCCCAATGGAGGGTGCAGGTAGAGACTGGAATCAAGGACCAATTCCTGGAGGAAGGTGTGTTTATATCTACTCTGAACACAGATTTGGCCTGCACAGGATTGGAGGGGAGGAGAGGGCCCCTTAAGAGAAAAACCCCAGAACTCAACCCCTGCTCTCTCCCCTACTCCCCCTTCACCATCTTTCACCAAGGCCCTGTCAGCATCCTGTCCTTCCCTCTGGCTCCAGGAGATCAAACTCTTCCAGGAATCTCCAGCTGCAGACAGTTACCACCTTCAGCCTGAGGAGGAATTTGGGGTCTGTTTCCACTCTACGGTGTAGCTCACAGTGAAGGTGAGGGCCTATCGGATTGGCAGAGGAGAGGAGGAGACTCTCTCTTGTGGCCAGTTGCAAAGAGCCTGTGGCTATGGCTCCCTGGTCAGCATCAGGCCCTTTTGTGTGGTGGCTGCTGGGGCACTAGGACTCCAGCTGCCGGCCAGGCAATGGGAAGGACACCTGAGGTGTGGCTCCCGGTAGCATCACAGCTTCCTCTCTGTCCCACAGCTACTACCTGTCCTGCAAGCTGAAACCCCTATTTCAGTAGACCAGGAACAGCCTCAAGGCTCACAAGAACAGACCATGATAAACCTCATGGGTGACTCAGTGCCTTGGTGGCAGAGGCAGAGTGCATCCGGGGTCAGTGAAGTTTGGGCCAAGTGTGGGCTCTGGGAGTCAGATGGGTCCGTTGGCTCCCAGCTACACCACTTACCAGCCCTGTGAATGGGGTGAAGGGCCTCACTGCTATGGTGTTTGTGGCAGCACTATCAAAAATTTAATGTGCTCTTCCAACCTCTTTTTCTCTTTTATCTATATTTATCTATAATCACTATGCACTACTAGTCTCTGTCAGTGTTTTTATTCAATTTAATGAACATATGTCATACATTATGTATCATTCTTCTTCATAATTTCTTTGCTATATTGTATGATTCCACTTATGTAAATTACTTAAATTCATAGAAACACAAAGTATAAGCAGGGTTTCCAGAAGCTAGAGGGGTGAATACAAGGAGCTGTTGTTTAATGGGTTACCAGAGTTTCAGTTTTGCAAGATTAAAAAAGTTCCCTATGTATGAGGATGTTGGTTGCAAAACAATGTGAATGTACTTAATTCCTCTGAACTCCACACTTTAAGTGTTAAAGGGTTAAAATGGTTAATTTTAAATTTTACCACAATGTAAAAAATGCTTTTCAAAAATAATATCTACACTATAGCTATCTTCAATAGCATGGATGAATATGACAAATATAATGTTGTATAAAAGAAAGTAAATGTAAAAGTATACATACTATATAATTTCATTTATATAAAATACAAAAAGCAAAACTGAGATTCTGGCTTTCAGTAATGGTGGGGTGGCTTGTTAAACTACCACTCTAACAGATAACAATGATAAAACATTGATATTATAAATCATTATGTAGAAACACATATCTATCTTTAATATATGCATATACATGTGAAAGAACTTAGGATTTCAGCTGTGATCACTGGAGAGGAAAGGAAACAGGTATTAAAAGTTGAATCCAGCCAAATTAACCACCTCTTCAAAAAAATAACAATATTATTCAAAGGAATACAACAGAACCGAGAGTCTCTATAACTATCATTTTTAGTTTCTAGTACACCATTTAAAAATTCATGACATGAAGAAACATGAAAATGTAATCCACACAAAACATAAAAGGCAGGAAGTAGAAGTTACACATAAGATGTCCAACACATTGTAATCAGCAGACAAGGATTTGAAAGTAGCGATCATAAATATGTTCATGGAAGTAAAAGAAAATATCATGAGTGAAGAGATGTAGAACCTCAATAGAGAAATGAGATCATAGAAAAGAAGTGAAAAGAAAGATAAAGAAATAAAAAAAATTACTTTTGAGCTTATCCACAGAAAACAGAAAACAAAGCAATCTAGGGGCCAGGCATGGTGGCAGCTCATGCCTGTAATCCTAGCACTCTGGGAGGCCGAGGCAGGACTATCGTTCAAGGACGGAGTTTAAGACCAGCCTGAGCAAGAGTGAGACCCTGTCTCTACTAAAAAAAAAAAAAAGAAAAGAAAACAAAGCAATCTAAATTATTCAATCTGAAGAAAAGAGTGAAAAAAGTTTGAAAAAAATGAAAAGAGCCTTAGAGACCTGTGGAACGATTTAGTCCAAGAGAAGGTAAAGACAGAAAAATTAAATGGAGTTCAAAAGTAAACCAATTAATTACTGAAAATTTCCAGAAATTTGTTAAAAATCTAAATTTTTAAACCCAAAGGTCAACAACCTCTCAAAAAAATCCAAAAAAACCAAAACCATATCAAGGCCATATTATGATTTAGGAAACTGTCAATGCATGGTTTTCTACTAACCTGCTATAATTTCTAATTTTTACTATTTATAATAATGTGAAATAGGTGGAAAATCCTTAGAGTGTTTTTCTTTTTCTTTTTTTTTTTTGAGACAGAGTCTCACTTTGTTGCCCAGGCTAGAGTGAGTGCCGTGGTGTCAGCCTGGCTCACAGCAACCTCAAACTCCTGGGCTCGAGCGATCCTTCTGCCTCAGCCTCCCGAGTAGCTGGGACTACAGGCATGTGCCACCATGCCCGGCTAATTTTTTATATATATATCAGTTGGCCAATTAATTTCTTTCTATTTATAGTAGAGACGGGGTCTTGCTCTTGCTCAGGCTGGTTTTGAACTCCTGACCTTGAGCAATCTGCCCGCCTCGGCCTCCCAAGAGCTAGGATTACAGGCGTGAGCCACCGCGCCCGGCCTTGTATATATATTTTTAGTTGGTCAATTAATTTCTTTCTATTTTTGGTAGAGACGGGGTCTCGCTCAGGCTGGTTTCGAACTCCTGACCTTGAGCAATCCGCCCGCCTCGGCCTCCCAAAGTGCTAGGATTACAGGCGTGAGCCACCGCGCCCGGCCTAAGAGTGTTTTTCTTGAACAAAGTCTAACAAGTCATGCACAGAATACTGACAGTTATTTAAGGCAGATGCCTTTCCATCCTTCTTTCCAAGTTTTAATTTCTTTTCTTTCTTTTTTTTTTTGAGACAGAGCAATACTGCTGCCTCAGCCTTCTGAGTAGATGGGACTATAGGCATGCACCACCATGCCCGGCTAATTTTTTTTTCTGTATATATTAGTTGGCCAATTAATTTCTTTCTCTTTATAGTAGAGACTGGGTCTCACTCTTGCTCAGGCTGGTTTTGAACTCATGACCTCAAGCAATCCGCCCGCCTCGGCCTCCCAGAGTGCTAGGATTACAGGCATGAGCCACAGCGCCCGGCCCCAAGTTTTAATTTCTTACCTTGGAAGTCACTTACATTTGTTTCTTCCAAATCTTACAGTAAAATTGAGGCTCCAGAAAGACGTGCCATGGATATTCTGCTCTTGTGTATCCTCCCTGCATAGCACCGAGGCTGTAGCTTCTTCAGTTTCAGAAATGTGGAGTAGTGTAATATTAAAAACTAAGTCGAAAAATAAGAGAATTATCGCTGTGAAGTTCCAACAGCAATTAGTAAAAGTGGTTCTAAAGGTATATTTAAAAACGGATATAAAAAGTTTCCAAGGGAGCCTTATTCAGGGCAGAAACACATACATTGTATATTACCTCAGTACACAAACTTTCCTTATGTTTTAGGAAGGACCAAGGGGCACTTTGGGTCCTGTTGGCCTGTGTTAATTATGACACAGAGGTCCAGAGTAGGACACCCAAGTCCTGAGAACCAACCTGGGTAAGGGTCACCGAAGTGGTGGATGTGGGCCTCCAAAGCAGCTTAGGACGGGGAGAGGCCTTCCCTAAGGGGCTGTTTCCTGACTGTATGAAGCAGGGGTCAGGCCTTTCGCCGGTGGCGTTTTCTCCTCTTTATAACAGCGGCAGGATGTCCCTGTGAGAGGCTTGACCCAGGTGTAGGCCATGCGGCTAACCCCGAAGTCCAAAGAACGTTCCTGGTGTGTAGAGGTGGGTCTGTGACCGCCCAGAGGGATAGAGGAAAAGGTGGCTTTGAATAGCCAAGTGCCACGTTACCAGGGACCGGGTATTTTCATTTTAAGCTGTGAAATGTGGCTCGAGACACCCACCAGCGAGCCTCCTGCCTAGGTTCCCAAGAAGATTCGGCCATTCAGCCCAAACCAACGGAAGGTCATGGTGGAGGGGGAAGGAGTGGGAATAGGTGAGATGGAGGATAAATGGTAAAGAGCAGGAAAGGCAGGCATAACCATGGCAACCCCGAGCAGGCTATTTGAGGACCCTGGCCTCTGGCAGGTCTGTGAAGAATCAAACTTCAGGCAAGACAAGTCAGAAGCCGGCATCTCCTGGAGATACGGTGTCACAATTACAGGGTGACACCAGTCACCTGGACCGTACTCGCTCCCCGCCGGCAGGAGAGTTTCGGAAACAGCCACCGCCTCATGGAAAAATTAAAACCGCTCTCCACGTGCAGTTTGGGGCAAGTGGAAGGCCGGCCCTTCGCGAGGCGTGCTGGGAGTTGTAGTCTCTTACCCACTCTCGGCCCTTTGGTTGCCGGGCAGCACAACTATACTCTCAGCATGCCCTGGGCTCGGGGACGGTGCGCAGCACAAGAGGGAGTGGTAGGGAGGTGCGCGTCTCACCCGGCATGCGGGAAAGTGTGTTCTCTTGACCGCTCCCAGTCCGTTTGTCGCAAGGCTGCAGGACGCCAATCTCAGCATGCACCGGGCTCGAGGGCAGTGGCCGCCGTGGGGAACGGGGCAGGGTGAAGCGCTTCTCGTCAGGCCTGCTGGAAGTTGTAGTCTCCTAACCTCTCCCAGCCTTTTGTTTGCCGGTCCGCAGAACTATAATCCCAGTATGCATCGCACTCAGGGGCGGTGCGCAGCCTTGGCGAGAGGGGCGGGAAGTGTACGCCTCGCTGGGCATGCTGGGAGTTGTAGTGTCTTAACGACTCCCAGCCTGTTGGTTTTAGGACTGCAGAAATACAATCCCAGCATGCACCGGGCTCGGAGGCAATGCGCAGCCACGGAGGGAGGGGGCGGGTGGTGAACGCCTGGCCGTTCTGGAAATCTGGCTGCTGGCTCTTTACCGCCGGTTCTGGCTGCGAGGGAGTCCGAAGAGGGACCTGAGGGGCAGGGTCCATTCCAGAGCATCCGCCTCCTCCAGCGCGCCGAGCCGCCTGCTTTTCCTAAACTGCTGTGGGAACTGATGCTCGAGACACTGTCCGTTGTGCCCTAGTTGCTCCCTAGTTTCTCCACCCGGAGCACCAATCGGAATGCTCTTGAAAGGAAAGGGCCGGGCGCGGTGGCTCACGCCGGTAATCCTAGCACTCTGGGAGGCCGAGGCGGGAGGATCGCTCAAGGTCAGGAGTTCCGACCAGCAAGAGCGAGACCCTGTCTCTACTAAAAATAGAAAGAAATTAATTGGCCAACTAAAAAATATATAGAAAAATTAGCCGGGCATGGTGGCGCATTCCTGTAGTCCCAGCTACTTAGGAGGCTGAGGCAGGAGGATCGCTTGAGCCCAGGAGTTTGAGGTGAGCTAGGTCGACGCCACAGCACTCTAGCCCAGGCAACACAGTGAGACTGTGTCTCAAAAAAAAAAAAAAAGAAAAGAAAAGAAATCGTCCACCTGGCCAGCCTATAAACGACCTCAGAGCTTTGCAGGGGTGGCGTGGGCTGTGCCTTTGCGGAAATGTCAGCCTCACTGGTGCCTTGTACATAATTCACTACACTGAAACTGTCTGCTCGATTTGCCTTGCTTTCTTTTAGTTAGAGAATATAATTCATGTTTTTAACATTTATTTATGGGAATTATTATTTGATTTATAGAGAAATTAATTTTATCACTGTTAAAGACATGAAGAAACTGGACTCCAAGATCATCCTTTTAGTAAATATTACGTTTGCTCCATTAGTTTCTAACAAATCAGTGTGGCCATAGCAATTTAAATTTAAACGTTTGTATTGCTTCTACTCTTTGGAAAAAGTATAACTTTTTTGTGTTTTTGAAACTTCTGACTAGAGAGGTTTTCCATTGGACTTTAGAGACGGTAAGACATTGCTGCCGTGTCTATTCTCCTCAGCTATTGGCTGTATCTGATAATGATCACGGAATTGGACATGGTCTGCTTGAGATACTATATATAATATGCAGTATTTTTTATATCTATCTACCTATCTCATAGGCCAAAAATTCAAAGTTATGAACTCAAGATAGGGGTCTAAAATTTTGATTCTTAAAAAAGTTTCTTTAATAGCCTCAATTCTTTATAATTTCTATAGAAATCCACCCGTGTGTGAAGAGATGTGATTCTGCTAACAGTGTCTGGTTTGGACATCAACAGTGAAGGCTGCCACATCCATAAGCAGATTAGAGTTGACCTCCTGAGGACCTCTGCCCTTGGTCTTTGACCTAGAAAAAATGTGAATTTAAAACATTTGGTGTTATAATATTTCAATGCTAGAAATACCCATTAAAGGGAGAGTTTGATTTGGTGAACCAAGGGGAGTGTAAACATAGCAAAATATTTTTACCATCTGTCAAATTTCAAAAAATTCATATTATTTTTAATACAACACTTTTTCACAGTGCAAGCTGTGTGTATATGAATAAAATATTTATTCCTCTTTCTATTTTTAAGTTGTTTCCAATGATTTGATGAGATTATCTTTTAACCTGGATGCTAAGAAGTGTGAAAGAACATTTTGGTTCATCAAAGAAAAAAACTTTCTTTAAAATACTTTAACATGCTGAAATGAAAAGCGCCGGGGTGTGTTTGAATGGAAGAGTGACCTACAGCTGGAACTATGATCTTCGGCATTCACCTTCATGTATCTTTAGTGTCTCATTGTCATTCCTTCCTTCTGGGCAGGGGATTGTCTGTTCCTAGAATCTTAGGATATAACTGAATTGTAGTTGGTAAAGAAAATTTGATGTTATATTTTTTGATTTTCAGAGGAAGAGCCAGCAATGATATCTCCAGATGCTGACAAGCTTGTAGGACTTACAGAAGACTGTTCACAAGGCCAACTGGAGACCCAAGAGCCGACCCTGTCCAAGTCCTTAGGAGAGGCTCTGCAGTAGACTCCGGGCCAGAACTGGGAGGAACATGTTTCTTCAGGTATGTCACTTCTATATTTCCTTTCATTGTCCTTAAGTGACTATATCAGCTATTCCAGCCCATCACGCTGTGCCTTGAGCAAAGTAGAAGATTTGTGGACAGGCCTGTGCCCATGATTCCTTCCTCACAATAGTAAAAATGACTTCACACTGAGTGTGACCCTGCCTCTCTCTCCTATTTGCTCCTTCACAACTCATGCACAAAGCAGTAATGCTGAGGAACTCTGCTGCTGGCCTTGTCTGGAATGGGCATGGCACCTGAGGAGAGGGCAAGTCAAGAGCCAGAGGTCCAGGGAGAGGGCCTGGGTGGCCTAACCCAGCCCTAACAGTATCTGTTCTCCTGAGCTCTCTCCTGTGTACCAGGCAATCTCTCACTCTAGGACCATCTCAGCCTGGCCCTTCCACCTTGCTCTGAGGTTCTTCTCTAGGCTCCCCCACAAGTGAAATCTATTGAGGGTTCCCAAGACCTGGGATTGGTTCTAGAAATCTTGTATCTTCCATGATCATCCCCACCTATGTCTCCTGACTTTCTCCTGACAGACGTCTGCTCCCCAGCAGCAGCAGTTGACCTCTACTCACTCTGAACCAGGCCCTGAACTTAAAGACAATTTGAATTTTGATCCATACTGCACTGGAGAGATAGGGAAATGTCACATTTCCATAGACTCATGACTCCTTCCCTTTTCCAAACCCACTGTCATGAAGATAAAACGTGAGATTGAATGAGACGACCCTCATTTCTTTCATCCTGGTGGCAGCAGCTTGGCTGGGAGCCAGAATTATAAAAAGAGAATGAGGGGCTCTGTGGGGCTCAGCTTCCTGAGCGACTGGAGTTCTGCCCACCCTCTCTCCCTTCTCCCTCATTTAGTCTTAGTGCGCCAAGTCTCCTGGATTATCATGGGGCATTTGCAGATTCAGAGATGACAGGCTTTGAATTCTACCTTCAGTACTTTCTAGCTGGGGGACCATCATCCTTTAATTTAATGTTTCCTCATGCCTCTTATTGAATATGAGCTGAAGTTACTTTCTTCAGTAGCCAGTTTGAGGAGACTATCTTGAGTATGTGTACATAGCATGGTCCCTCTGTCCCTTAGATCTGCTTTTTCACATTTCTTGGGAGAAGTTTATCAATATGAATTTATTTCTCTTCTTTGTAGATCCCAACTTACTCTAGTCTTTCTCTTGAAAAAAATTTGTTATCACACACATGCATGACCATATTTGTGAATAACTTAACAGTTACTAATAAGTTGGTATAATTAGGATTGGAGAGCTATGACAAATGTAACTTTCCCTTGGAGCTTTGTGAGAACCGAATTAGGTTTCTGGTCACTAGAGGGCACCCTTGAACCTGATCTAAAATAAACATTGGCCAAAGTGAGGCCCATCTGTCTTGAGTATAAACTCTCAGGGACGGGGATGGCTAGGACCCACTTGGATTGGCAGTCCACCCATAGGATAGAGACGTGTGGGCACAGGCATATCTGCATGGACTTGAATGTTGCCACCTCGGC